CATGTGAACAGCTTCGTGCACACATGTTCATCATCATTTATAACATTATTATCAATTTGTTGTCATGTCAAAAAATGTGAAGTGATGTTTTATTATTATTTCCATCACTTACCCGCCTACTACCACCATAACTGCTCCAAAACACGACATGAAATTTAAAACATTGAGGTCTACAATGACAGTTAAGAAGAAACATCTCGTGCAGCATTACAGTGAATGATTTTTAAAACCCTCAACGCTACAGTAGCGAGGGTATAATGTATTTGAGCTGATGTTTGTAACGCATCCACACTGACCATAAAATATGAAATCGGTCCATGATTCCGAAGTGTCACTTACTGATTCATTTAGGCTGAATCTGTTTTATAGTCCTAAATCAATACTATCAAGTTTGGCCAAAATCGGATCACATATAAATCTAGGCTTCATATATGTATGCTTCCTCCTGAAAATCGGTTTAATGTTCATAATAAACCCATCAATTTCAATATCGGTATAAAATGAAATATCAATAAGGTATATAGGCATTCAAATTCCTCCACCTAGGGTCCATACTTGATAACAGACCTCTGCAATTCACTTTATCTCATCTACAAATATAAAAATGAATGTGATTTTGTATGAATGTTTGTTTAGACTTTATTGACGGCTTAAAGCCTAGACCGATTTTCTTGAAATTTTCATAGTGTCCTCCAGTATGTCTGTAAGGAACTATAGGTTATCTCTTGTTTTGCAATATCTAGTAGGCTTGGTGCCATGCCCACTAAAAATAAGTATTAAACGTTGCATATCTCATAAATTGCGGCAGCTAGAGTCCCAAGTTTTGTTTGGACAACTTTGACATCCATTTCAACATTTGAGGACAAAATGAGCGGACTCGCTATAGTGGTCGGGCACCTCCCATGTAAAGAAAATATTAAACTAGTATATCTGAAAAAATATAACAGTTAGAGTTTTGAAATTTTGTCGGAGACGCTATAGTATTAATTTAAATATTTAAGATAAAAATGGGTGAACATTTAATAGGGGGCGTGGCACCTTCGATATAAATTAAATACAAAAACTCGTATATCTCTGAAACTATTAAAGCTAGAATCCTCAAATTTTGCACGAGTAACTTTTAAATCGATATGAACTTTTGTGAATAAATTAGCAATAGGGGGCGTGGCATTTGCTATATGGATTAAATGCAAAAAATCGTATATCTAAGAAATTATTAAAGCTAGAATCCTCCAATTTTACATAAACAACTTTGACATACATGTAAAGATTTGGGTAATATTGTAGAGGATAAACAATAGAGGGCGTGGCACTTCCCATATGCATTAAATACAAAAATTCATATATCTGAGAAACCGTTAGAGCTGGAATCCTCAAAATTTTGCTCGATCAACATTGAAATGAATATGAACATTTGGAAAATTGGGTGAACTTACAATAGTGGGCGTGGCACCTCCCATATGAATTTAATACTTAAGTGAATTTAACATTGTAAAGGGGTTTTTAACTATAAAATAATAAAAATTTATGAAATTTATTACTGTATTAAATTGAGCAGAATTCGGTGCATAAATGGTCGAAGGTTTTTTTTTTGTTCGGAAAACCCTTAAATGTTATTATTGTTAACAAATTCGCTATCAATAAGTTGTATAGCAAACTTATGCATTAAACCAAATTCTAATTCGACCTTGACCGATTTAACTTTTATTTATGTTTATGTAAAAATTGTTGTAATTTTTACAAGAATAAATGTGTAAAATACTGTTAAACGATGCATGGAAATGTTCGGTACTATTCTGTTTGAAATGTGAATACGTTAACAGTGATAAATGAAAGTCAACGTACGCTCAATGACCTGTAGAGAAGCGAACTAATCCTAAGACTTGTTCGATAATAGTAATAACAGATTCTCGATAAAATTTTGTTCATTATTGTTGTATATTGTTTCAACTCTTTTAACGCATTTTAATCTATCTGTAGGTTTACTTTTGTTCTACACTATAGTTTACATTTGTTATGAAATTTCATTCTTCATTATTGTCAATTTAAAGTTTAGTTTATGATGCGTAACTATGTATTTGTGGTGAAAATTTAAAAGGAATAAAATTTTATTTTGTGGCATATATTTCCTCTATTTTTAATTAAATTTTGCAAATTTTATAAGCCTAATAATACATTTAATTAAAGCTTTCTTTTGAAACTAGAAATTTAATTGAATTAAATTTTGTCAATATAACTTTTCCCAATATAAAACGTTCGATTAAAGAAACATGAAAACTAATTTATAGTTTTCTATTTATAATTTGAAATTTAACAATTCTTCTCCCCAAAAACCAAAATGTCAATCAATATTAAGAAACAATAGTCTATTTATAGTGTTAATTTAAAAAACAATGTTCCACTAAATCCCACTTACACTTTCCTCCCAGTTATCAGTCACAGTTCAGTCGCATGCACGAAATTCAATCATTCAATTAAACATTTAAGTGGCTTTAATGTGAAAACTAAACTGAAAAAAATCGTTTCATTTAACAATAATTTTTGAACATTCTCGTTGAAAGCAGTTTGCAACTGTTAAAATCAACAACAATCGTTAAAAAAAAAAAACTAAATTTAATTTTATAATAAAAATCTAATCAAAATAATATGACAGCCTACAATAACTTGTAGCAGTTGTAGTCATATTCATGGTGGTGGTGCTGTTGTTTATTTTATCTATTGGACTTGCTTGTTTGCCTTTTAACTGGCTGAATATACATATATCACATATAAAGATTAGATGGACGTCAGGTTGTCTATAGGCGCCCACCACAAAATATCAAGTATATAATAAACCAGTCTACCAATATAGTTTAGCATACACATGTGTTCATATGATGGCATTGTGGAAAAAGTTAAGCACCATTTCTCAGATTTTTTTTTTTTAAAAACTTAACTCAATTTTTTTATAAAAATATTCCATTTTTGAAAGCTTTTCAATTTATCTAGCTTAAAGTTCAATTTATGGCTTTAGAGCTATTGCAAATTATACATAATAATGTTTCAAGTCTGAAACTTGTTTGAGCTTTTTCAAGCTTTGAAATAAGTTGAAATCATTGCAAAGCTTTATTGTTTCAAGTCTGAAACTTGTTTGAGCTTTTAAATAAGTTAGAAATCATTGCAAAGCTTTATTGTTATGAATCATGAAGCTTAAAAAAGGATTAAAGAAAGTTCTTAGATAAAATAAAAAATTTAATTTCAGAAAAGCTTTTATCAGAACATTCATTACAAACTGTAAAGCTTTATTATTATGAATCCTAAAGTTAAAAATTCAAAACAGATTAAGCATTAAAGAAAGCTCTTAGATGGAAACAAAAGTTCAAAACTTTAAAACGCTTTAAAGTTTTTCAGAAAAACTTTTATATAGCTTTTCAGAAATTTTTTGCAAACCGTAAAGCTTTATTATTATGAAACCTAAAGCTAAGAATTAAAAACAGATTAAGCATCAAGAAAGATCTCAGATAAAAACAAATTTCAAAACTTTTTAAATGCTTTATATTAGTTATGAAGCTTTATTTAATAAAACACTTAATTTAATAAAAAGCTTTCCAAACTTTACATATAATTCAATCTTTACAATGATATTTGCAAGCTTAAACAAACAAAATTTGGTAACTTTTTAACATATTTTTATAAGAAAGCTTTTTAACAGCTTTAATACAAAAAAATCATAAATTTAAAAAGCTTTTGTACACGATCTTTGTCAAAATTTAGCATAAAATCCTTTAAAAGCTTGTTTGTTACTTATTTAGATCTGATGCGGTTTAAAAATGTGAAACAAGTTTCAACATTTTAAAAGCTTTGTATAAGCGAAAAATCATTGCAAACTATAAAGCTTTATTATTATAAAACATTAAGTTAAGAGTTCGTAAAAGATCAAGCATTGAAGTATTCTCTCAGTTAAAGTAAAAAATTCAAAACTTTTTAGAAAGTCATATAAATTTAATTAATAAAAAGCTTTTGAAATTTTTAAACATTAAATTCAATATATTTTCAATGATCTTTGTCATACCTAAAGATACAAAATTTGTGAACTTTTAAAGCATATTTTTTAAGCAAGCTTTTTTAAAAGTTTAAGCAATACTATTTTAACTATGTTTAGAACTCGCTTTTCTTACTTAAAGCTCATAATGTGAAGATCATCCATAATAAACTAAAAGCTTTTTAAACATTTTGTGAATAAGGGGGTTAGAAAATAAGTGAATATAACATTAACTATGAAAGCTCATTAATAAGTTTAAAGTTATAGTCAAGTAAAATTTAAGCTTTTGAGAGCTTTTTTTAATATTTAATAAAAGCATGTCTGTAGGTCTATTGTAAGCTCAAGAAATACTTACATATTTTTTTAAAATTTTAAAATTTAAGTTTGTCAAATATCTGGCACTAATGATTCTTGAACAAAAGCTTTCAAAAATTGTTTATGGGAAATATGAAAGCTTTAGTTATCTAAGCTTTTAGATTTTTCGTTCTGATTAAATAAGTTTACGTAATTTAAGATAAAAGTCGCGCAACATGTTGTAATACAATAAAAAAAATGCTCTTCATCCTTTAAAACTGTAAATTGCTGATTCTAACAAGGAAATGGTGTTTATTAAAAATACACTTAATAACATATCAACCAAATACCATCAACAACCCACAGATTGTAAGCTCTGTGTTCTGCTCTAGAATATCGAAATTTTAATAAAAATTCTCACACAATGTAAGAAAATTGTAGCAAATATATTTTGTTGTTTTTTTTTTTTTTTTGCAAATATCGAGGGTTTTTCACTTATAATGTAGTTGTATTAGTAAATGTATTAGTTGCTGTCTTTGTATGTGTGTGTGTGTGTTTTTTTTATTTTTTGTGCCTTTTTAACTAAAAACAACAATTTTATTATTTTCGCTTTTTTTAATTTTTTTGCTCCCTATAAGTGTTTGCATGTTTTACAAGCCGGCTGTGAATGTCTGTCTGTCAGTTTATCGGAAGACTTTATAGCAAACACAACACGAAAACGTTGCAAATGTGTTACAATATAAAAGAAAAATAGTTATTGAAAATTTCGAAGACAACGTTTTTGCAGAAAAAAAAAAATAAAGAAAATTTTAATATTGTATTTTGAAATAAAAAATTTTATGTTTTACTTGTTGTGTTTAGTGATTTTTATTATTTAAGGAATTTACGAAAAGTTTTTCAATTGTCATTGCTGGCTGTTAGTGAAAATAAACAAAAAAAGTTCTATATTTGGCGCTTAAATTTGGAAATAATACCCAAAGTGTTATATTTTATTGTCTTTTAGTTTTGCTCTATCGATTGTTTGCAAGTATCCAACTGTTTTTGGCTTATGTCAGAGTAAAAATAGTAGTTAAAATGTAACTAATACTATGACGTTACAAAAATAGGAATAAAAAAAACAAAAATAATACCTAACATGAATATGATTTAAGGGGAAGTATGCTTAGAAAAGTATATGGATTTTATATTAAAAAAAAGTATTATTTAAAAGTACTTTTTTCGACTTTTTAGCAATAATATTTTTCTCATGAAAAGCTTTCTTTAATTTCCATTTATAAACATTTTCTTTGTCTAAAAACTTTCTTTAACAAATCCACTTATAATTTAAGTTTCATACTTCCCTCATTTTCATAACATGTATGAAATAATAATACCAAAAAAACAACAGAAAAACCTTGAAAAAGATTTATTAAAAAAAAAAGTGTTAAACTAAAACTGAAGCAACTATCGGCTATATAATGTATTTAGTAACAAAATAATTCTTACAACAATCGCGTGTATAATTTGTTTGTGCGTAAACGTATTAAGGCGTATGAGTGATAACAAATAAAAACAAAAAGTTAAATAATATTAAGGCCCTTAATTACCATAAAAACAAAAGTTCACACTTTATAAAGAAACACACACAAAAAAACACCAAAAAAAATAACAAACAAAAGAGATTTCGTTTTTATAAAGTGTCAGTAATGACAGCCCTTTTTTGTAATTATTGTTGCTGTCGTTGTGTTCAAACCATCAGTATTTGTTTACAATAAAATGTTAATTGAGCGAAAGAAATAAAAGTAATTAAAACAAAAATTGTAATAAAACCACGTAAAAAGTGAATAAAATGAAATTTACATGAAAATAATTGTTGGTATTAAATTTTCTCTTATACACACGTAGTATACAAGAGTGAACAGACATGCACACGTTGGTGCAAGTATGTGAAAATAAACATTTGTAATATTATTGATTTACATCAATATCGATTATATTTAATTACAATATTATAGTACGCAAGAAAAACTGATAGGAGGTTTACAAAAAAATATGAAGTAATGCATATACAGTAGGTTAGGAAAGAATGGTGACATTAACGATATGTGCTAAAATAATAAATATTACTCATACTACCAGTAGTCCCTAATACTATGCAGCATTCTTAGGGGGTAATAATTACATAAAGTAATACATTAATTGGTCAATTACTTGTAATCTGTAAAAGAACAATAACCAATTACAATTATTTGTAATTGAAATTTTGTTAATTACAATTACTTGTAATGCGTAATACATCAATAACCAATTACTTGTAATTGAAGTTTTTTTACAAGTGTTTGTAATTGAATTTTTCCATTTGAAATTACTTGTAATTGTAAATTTAGTATTGCCAATTACTATTTCCTGTAATTATTAAAGAACAAATTCACTATTACTAATAATTGCCATTGGAAATTCTTCAATTACATTTATAAGTAATTTGTAATTAGCTAAACTTTAATTACAAGTAATTGTAATTGAAAATTCATCATTATTGTAATTGGCCGAAATTCAATTACAAGCAATTGTACAGAAGTCGAGTGTTTTTTGTGAACAGCTGTCAAATGGTCTATTTCACGATGGTACTTTTACAACTACAGGTTGAGCTTGAGAAAAATTACCAATGCCCCTTTATGTGCCTTGTAGAGTACAAGCAAGTGGCACTTTTCATACATTGTTCCGCCAGTCCAAGTACAAGCATTTTACTCGAATACTTGAGCTATCTAATCTCTGACCATTGCAGCTCCGTTGCTTAGCTTCCTATTCTAGAATACGGGTAAAGTAAGGCCCGCATACCCCTTCATCTATTCCGTATATTATTCGATTAACTCCTATCGAAACGATTAGCCCCACTGCCACTTCTCTGAGGTATATCATCATATCAGTAATAAATGAAACAAGATAAAGTCCTAAACTCTTCACAGTTGCCTACTGGTTTTCTTGGTATCGGATTTGATAAGGGCTCTGGTTCGACCCCAAGTCAAATTATTCCAAGGAAGGGCTGAGGATACATTTAACATGACCAGTTATAAACGGAAAAAGACAAAGTCCTAAACACTGCCCAGTTGCCTACCGGTTTCCGTGGTACCGGATTTGATAAGTGCTCTGGTTCCACCCCAAGTCAAGGAAGGGCTGAGGATACATTTAACACCACCAGTTTATAGTTCCGGCAGACTTGGGGTACTGGTAGCACCTCCGGATAGATTTGTCAAAAGACTAGTCTATAGAAATTTTGACTGTAGACATAGATAACTTCATAGCTAGCCAATAGAATAGTTCATAGACTAGTCGGTAGACTAATTTAAAGACTAGTTCATAGATTAGTCAATAGACTAATTCAGAGACGTGTCAATAGTCTAGATCATAGTAGACTAGTCAATAGACAAGTCAATCAATTTGTTAATATAATAGTCAATAGGCTGGTCAACAGACTATTCTACAGATTAGTCAACAGATTTGTTTGTAAACTATTCGATTGACTAAGTAGTCAACAGACTACTCAAAAGACTAGCCCATAGAGTAGTCAATGGACTAGTCAATAGACTAGCCAATAGACTAGTCAATTAACAACTTAAAAGTTATTCAGTAGTCTTAAAAAGTACCATTTTTCCATGTCTATTACTTTACCGAATTCTAATAACATTCCAGTACATTCGCCCACCTTTCTTGTCTCTTAAAAAAACTATAGGTTCAAAACAGGAGCAGTTAAGAAAATTAAACTCTTGACAACCCTGCAGTTCGACAAAGAGTCAATGCATCCGAAAAAGACAGAGATTTCCACTAACGTCTAACCACCAGGTTGGCTCTAATTCGTCTTTCATCACGGATGTACTCTTTGTAAACGAGGCTGAAGATAATCGTCACTTTAGTGTCCCCTTTGTAAGCGAGAGAGGGGACACTTAAAAAGCACTTGTCTGCCTCTTCGTAACCTATGGGGTGACGATTGACTTCCTCGTAGGACAAGCACATGTTAAAATAGCTAGTTACCTGGACAGTTGGTGGCTAAGTGTAACCCTATGTGGTAGGTTAAATAGGGAGTTCGGGACTGTCCGACCGAACAGCTGGGAAATGTTTCCTGCAAATAAGGTTTGATTGGTATTGAATTTTATATATATATTTTTTCAAAAATTACACAAAGGCTATTTTGCATACCAGGCGAAGTTGAAAAAGCTTTCCGGACACACACACAACATATGAATATGAAGAAAACGAATTATAAATAACACAAAGAACAATAGATTATTGCCCCAACAATAATAATAATAATATGGCCAATGAAATAATGTAAACAAAAACAATTTTAAAATTTCATTTTAGTACGGAAACAATAATTTATACATATTTGTATACTGTCTGATGCCTCCTTATACATACATACATTCATATATTTAAAAGTGTGAGTGACGGTTGATGTGCTGATGATATTAGTGTATTTATACGCAATAATTGTTGCCATAATTGTTAAACAAATTTAGTTAATTAATCTTTTTGTTTTACCAGCGTAAACAATTCATTCATCCAGCCATCTACTTATTTTTGCATTTACACGCAGAGAAAAATATGGCTAGAAGTGCATATAATAATCTTTCTGATATGACACACAAGAAATTTAACAATATTTTTCTTATTTCTCGTTTGAGTGAAGAATTGAACATAATATGGTTGTGAAAAAAAAAGATATAGGATCACAGTAACCATATTTAAATGATTGATATAATCAATAATATCTTTTCTCTCAGTGTAACCGCACTTTACTATTCAAACAAATGGTCAACGCATATTTGTTTGTGTTGGTCTCCGTATGAGAATGCTGAATATGTTTTTATCGAACTTTGTATCTGTGCGAAGGATTTGTTTACAAAACAACTTTTAATTAATTTTATTGTATCCTTTTTTAAAAAAAGAAGCCTCCCACTAACTAATTTTAATTGTTTGTATAGTGGTTTAAGAACCATTTTAAAAAGGATGTGGAAAATTTTTAAATTTATTTAATTAAAATTCAATGTTAATGAACTTAATTTTGAGTTTTCTTAAATCAATAAACCTAATACGTTTCATTTTACTCAAACCCTGAAAATAACCTCTAAATGTTTCAAAATTTTAACTTCAATGACTTTGTTATAAATTTTCAAAGAAAATTTCTGTCTCAATGACACAAATGCCAGCAAATCATTTAAAGTCTTCCTCTCTTCTCTTGAAATCAAAATTTTCTAATTATGTAAATGACTGCAGCTCTTTGTGCAGTTCATTATGTTAAATATCAACATTTTCAAAAACATTTGCTTGTTTAACTAGTAATTAATGAGCATTTTAAGTTAATTATCGAAAGTACTTTGTGGCTTTTATAAAGTCAATAATCATTAGTATGGACGATCAATACAATTAAATCATCATCATCAACAAATGGTTAATTGTACACAAACAGCTTAAAAACGCTTAGAATGTTATAAACACACAAAATACATACTTAAAAAATTGTATACATATTGTTAATGGTTAATGTTGTTCTATAGATTGCAATAATACAATAATCCCTTAAGCTTTCGACAAATATAAATATTTAAAATTATTTATTTTCTTAAATACTTTTTAAATAAATTTTATCGGTATGTAAATACTGATTTCTTTCGTAGCAGGCATGGAAATTTGTGAAAGACTATAGATTGGACTATAGACTAGACTATAGACTAGACTATAGACTAGACTATAGACTAGACTATAGACTAGACTATAGACTAGACTATAGAATAGACTATAGACTAGACTATAGACTAGACTATAGACTAGACTATAGAC